GCAATAACAGTAGTCTATGACTATTTAACTAGTGATAAGGAAGAAAAATTATTAAATGAAAATTTTCTTCACCCTCAAATAGGTCCAAGGTAGCGCGCATTGGCATAAAAATTGCAACGGTGTTCTCATTGACATTATTGTAGTTTTTTTAAACAGTTTTTGACCAGCGATGGCAGCAGCAATAGGATCCATTGGCTGCGGATAAAAAAGATGGACGCTATTTTTTACTGTCGACGAGCGGGAAAAACGCATTAAAGCCAAAGGTCGCTACCAGTGTCATTAAGGTCTAGCGTTGCGTCTATGCATCCGGCGAAATACGTACGTACTATTGCGGACTCTAGTAGCAGCAAAGCCTCTCGCGGTGTAACAAAAAAAAAAACAATGTCTGATTAGCTGTAGCGACGTAGCTGCTTATTGGTAAAGCTATGCCCATACACCCACCCGCCTTAATTTCCGTATATCACTCTGGTGGGTTGATGATTTCTAACAATTGAGTTTAGTCTCCACGGCTGAGTTTCTCCAGAACTAAATTAGACCTTCCTCCGTTATCAAAGTCCTCGTCATGCAATTTCTTATCTAATTGACGGCCAGGCATTGAAAACGATCAGACTGCAAGGATACCGCTGAGTTTTGTCGCTGCTTTTATGATATTCATTTTAGTAGGCCCTTGCTTAAGGGCTTCGTATTTCAATAGATAGTGATTAATAATAAATTGAAGAATGGTTGAAAATATGTCGGTGGTTTCCGTGTATGACGAGCGCTGAAACAACTCATTATGACGGGGATGAATCTCAAACGTTTAGTGCCAGTATCATTCCAATACTGATCCAGTAGCAAGCATTAAACGAATAGACATAATAATTTATATATATATAAAGACAATTCTTTCCTCATAGGAAGCCTTGTTTCGTCCTCTCATCCAGGTTTCGCATAATTCACCGACCTTTAGCTGCTTTCAAAGAGCGTCTAAATAAAACGACAAACCTTCGCTTACTATCGTTCACTTGCTAACTATAGACGACCGTAAATAGTGGAAAACTAGTTTAATTAGAAATTAAACCATTTCATCTGATGGGAACGATTGTCCATTCCAGCTGCGGACACGCGCGAGACCAGAGCCTATTTTCTGGGGTTCACACCAGTAGTTGATCGACATGATCAACAAAAAGCAAATTGGAAAATGTTCTACTTGTAACTCTTGTTCTTTGCCTGCCTTACGTCCACCAGATACACTTAAAACCGGTGCTGCCCGGCTTTGGGCACCCTGACATCTCCCAAGCTAAAACAAGTTCAAAGTCCCCATGACATTTCGTTTTCCTACTGCTTGTTCGTTTTGTGGGGTGCGCAACTTATGGTGGCGTTGCGGCCGCTGTCGCCGCCATAAGTCAACGAAGCATGATGCTCTTATCTCCTTTGTTGCGTAAAAACGGCGACACCGTCGGCGGTACGCTTACTGGGATGAGCTGTTACAAACGATCTTAAGGGAAGTCACGTTTTCCCAGTTTAGTGTATTTCATGCTTAGTCGCAGTCTTAGCAGCGCTTCGATCTTTCAAACTACGTATATTTTTTATGCACTTAGCGCGAAGCTCCTGGAGAGAAAGCGTGTCGACTGAAGTAACCGCATTGAAAAGACGCCTTGATGTTGGAGGTGCCAGAAGTGGGGGCAGCACAGAGGTAAACTGAAAGCAAGCTAAACCAAGGACTTTTGCACCGTCACCTATATAAGACAGCTAAGCATTAAGCAAATAGAGATAAAACAGCTAATGCTGCGGTAACACCAGCCTGCCTCAAAGGATCTTTCACTCAGCCCTTCTTTCGGATTAGCGAAAACGTCGAATTCCTTGAAACAACCGAAAACAGCTTTAAGAGAGCATTCGTTTCACTATTACTGAATGAGGTTTTCAACCTGTGGAAGCAAAGCAAAAATCAAAACTATACATTTAAATCTAGTGCGGAACCCTGATCAACAGAAGGTGACAAATAAACAAATAATTTCTTCCGAACACCTAGCGCATTCTGCCAGCAGCTTCGGTTTCTAGACTCAGGAGACCTGTCCCATCGCCTGTTGTTATTTTCGCATTAAGAAGACATAAAAGGGCCAAATTTCAATACAATTACGAGGAGATTCAATAAACTTCACTACTAAAGGCTAGTGTGAAGAAAATACAACACGAACAATAGTTCGCCCCTTCTTTTGCGAAGAGTACATTACTTTACCGGTTAGCTGGAATCGAATTGGTGATCATTCTCAATAGTGCCTTTTGTGTTCTATCATATTTGTTCGTGATACTTCTGATTGCACGATAGTTCTATAATAAGAGAATGGCAATGCAGTTTTTGAGATCCACGCTGGCATAATTGCCGCGAAATGAAAGAGAGTTTGGAGGTCGTATATGAGTAAATTCATCTTACGTCTACTGGATGGCGAACACTGAAATGCAAGAAGGTCATGCATCACGTAGATTTTGCTTATCTTGGGAGAAAAAGACGCCGTTGGTTACCATCGGCGCATTCACAAACAACTGTCTTATTTAACATTATAATCAAAGCGTTAAGGTACACATTTGTCCGCTTTGATTGTCCGTAAGTTTTTGTTTCAAAAAACAAGAAAAAGCATATACTCGCACAGCATACAAAAACTTTGTATCAATCACCCGAATTATATATATATATATATATAATTCGGGTGATTGATACAAAGTTTTTGTATATATATATATATATATATATATATATATATATAGGCACCCTATACAATCAAAATAGGGCAAACTGTACGCAGTCAAGGGGTCGACAACCCAAAAATCGACTGGACTACTCAAAAAATCCATGACTTCAAAAGGCCGAAAAAGAAAGCTCATGGTGTGATTGGAATATTAAGGTCAACGGGAAGACACCAATTAACTTTGGCGCGTCGGACCAAATGTAAACTTACTTAATGAATCGATTCTTGCGCTGTAACAATAACAATTACACTGGGTCAAAATCAAGTTACAAATCCAACACAGATCCAAGATAAAAGGCGACCATGAAAACAGTTTGGCGGACTCTTTCACCTGTATTATGGGCTACAACCCACAAACATGCTACATTGCAAGCTTTACTGAGTAGAAGGAAAAATCACGCTAGCTCTTCGTAAAATCCGAATCTGATCTGGTACAACGGTTTCCTTCTCAAATCAATGCATACACAAAACAATATGAAAATAGTTAAACAGAAAAACTCTGCCGTGGAAGACCCTATTTAACCTGAGATTTTACTTTTGTCGACGTACGTCCAATCTTCGAGTTGTTTGACGTTCTCAGATATCACAGCTATTAAGAAAGCTCATTCCATTTCTTCACTTGGTACACATTCTATATTAGAGATATTCATCGATACACAACTGAAAAAGACCAGATTTGCGAGTTAACCAAACAGTTTCAAGGTATTTGTCTAAGTTGATCTAGTTTACTTGAAAGAGAGATGAAGCAAGTCTGGGAAGCAGTGGGGTTCAGCAGGGGTTGTATTGTTAAGTTGCACGCGACGTACTGCACGTAATTCATCACGTTCGTATTACTTGCTTATTCTTTCTAGTGGCATGATAGAATATGTTTGCCATTATTTACCTCGCCATCGAAATTGAGTTTTTCCTTGGACAAATTTCAAATGAGCTTTGTGTGCAACACGGGTCCATACTCACTCTGATGGCGATATCCAACATGCAATTCTCTGCTAAAAGCCACGGACTCGGATACCTGAAGACTCCGATATTTGGATGATCAGCACTTGAATTACTCTAAAGTCTATTGTTCGATACAAACGAAACGACATTGTAACAGCCACATCTTTATCTTCGCTGGATCTCTTTTTAAATACCTACGTCATGTTCGTATTGACGAGCCACTGTCATCTTGTAGAGTAACGACTAATTAACATTTCAAGAGTGTCAGTAAGCCTTCGAAGAGCCATTTTCTTAGTAGTTCAATGGCGCCCTATATGTACGTATTATCATACAATTAGTCAAAAGGACTACGTATCAAAATGATACATTGCATCCGCCGTAGCCTAAGCACCCCTTCCAAATCGAACAACCCAGTTGCAGGGATCTAATTTACAGTTCCGTCGAATACGCACATCGTTCGCAAACCCATACGAGCGCGCAAACAAGTGAAAGCATGATGTAGATATACGGCTTGTATCGCGACTGCATAATTCAATTCATGTGTACATAATTCAAAACGGCACGACAGGTGATAATGGCTAAGCGAAACAATCAGTTAACGAAAACTAAATAGTTTACCTATAATCAGATGCGCTATATCTGAAGGTCAATTGAACGTGCCATTCACTAATACCACCTGCTCATTGGAGCTTTACTATATCTTTAACTAAGCGAGTACACGCAAATGCACCCGCAACGTTCCTACTTAACCTGTATACGTTACCTTCGCATTTAAATAAAAGTATTGGAGATTTCCATTTGGCGTAACATTCTGAAAGTTAAATATCAGCATACTAGTACAGTAGACCCTTATAGGAAACCAGGCGGTACTAAATTCTTGATTTATTGGTTAATAATTATAACATTAATGTCACCCTCTGTACAAGATACGCGGCCAATGTGCTCAGCACGAGCAACTTTGAAAACATTTATAATTTGGCCATATTGGAAGCAACAGCAATTGATGCATTGTAATTCTGTATGCACTACAACATTATTAGGCTGCGGCCTGAGAGTTTGAACGACCGCTCACAGAGGAATCTATGCAGATATCACTATTTCTGTTAAACATAGTTGCGCGATGATTTCCGTGATAATATCTCACTTGTCGTTCCCACTGGCTAGCTTATGAGACATAACAGTGTCGGCAGTGATGGGCTTAATTTATGGGCTTGAGCGAGCCCCCAAGCAACGTTTTAGAAACTGTTCAAAACACGAATATAATTTATAGTATACTAAAGTAACTTTTTTTGGCAAAGGTTATATTTAAGAGTATGATATAGTTCACTTTCTCACCTAATGGCAATGACCTTGCCGACGTCAAGAGGGACTCGGCGCACCTGGGCAATGAAAATCGCAGCCACAGCTTCATAAAGTGCGGTACCGTCCATATTAATGGTTGCCCCTATGGGAATGCAGAAACGCACAACCTTCGGGTCGATCTTCACTTTGTCCTCCAGAGCGGCGATGGTGACCGGTAACGTTGCTGAGCTAAAATGGATCAATAAAATTAGAAAAATAGCCATATCACTGAATTGGTTGAGGACTTCGTTTGTATTAAAATGATGGAGGTGACGACACAAGATCTAGTGTTATTGGTATTGGTAGAGAGCGTCTATGAGATTACGAGGGACCATTCTGCGCAGAAAACACCCAGCGAAAATGATAGTGCTAAATAAATCGGTAGTTATCTCAAGTGAATATGCGGAAGGCTAACGTGCACTACCGCATATTAAGCAAGCCTCCATGCTATATTTTTCATTCTTCTCGTAATACTCGGGTTAATCGTTTGCTTAACAGCATCATATGTGCTGACATCTAAGTTGCGGACTTGCTTACAGTTTTATGTACGATCAGCTATCCAAATTACATACAGAATTTATGATATGCACAACGCATAAGCAGCTATTTACATGGACCTAACAACGTTGGGTATATTGATAATTGATTTTATGTAAACGGCCAGAACTTGCGCTAGGACAATGATGAAAGTATTAAATCGTCATAATTCTTCAAAGCCTAAAACCTCTCTATACTGATGCTTCTGCTAAAGGGCAAGTAAACAGGAACACATTTTACGTTCTCAAATATTCAGTTATAATAATTCAGTGAAATTTCCAAGCTTTCATTTGAAGCAGAAAAAAATCAAAGCATAGAAAATATGTATTTCACAATTTCGATACGTACTGTAATGGAGAAAAGAGTCAGTTTGTGAAAATGTACATTAAAACTTTCAAAAGCAGAGTGCAATCCCGAGGGCAAAAACAGGTGTACCAAAAGTACTTTTAATGCTGAAATAACTATACACAACTATATACACCTAAGTCCAATAGAACAGCATAACATATGTTTCTATCCCAGACAAAAAAAACAACGTTTTAGTGATGTTTTAAAAGCTATAACTTCACGGAAATTCCTCGCTTAGAACGCTGACAGTATATAATAATAGAACGATGTAAGGTATCCAACATTTGTTGTGTACGTGTGCGTAAATGATATTTATTTTCACTTTGTTCTTTATGAACACCTAGACGTATTTCACACGTATTAATATAACGACGACTGTTAAATTTATAGATTACCATTTTATTATTGTTTAGTCGATATTTTTATCTTAAATCGGCGATTTATTAAACAAAAAATGCGATTTTGCGTATTTTTTATACTCAATATAAAGTTAACAATAACAAGAGCTATTCCGATCCTATTCGGCCGTGTTGAGTAAATTCTAATTGTTTCTCGGTCTAGTTATAATGACATGGTGAGAACCTAATGTCCCATGATGGTCCCCACCACTTAACCATCAGCTGATCGTCTTCTCACATCCCTTATTAAACAGAATCAGCTTGACCGACAATATGCATATAGATGGTTTTTATTTTCTTTTTTTGGGAAACGGATTTAATGCGTCGACGCACGTAGTTGGGACCGAATGACTAATGGCCACCCAGTTTAGTGTTGGATCCTACTCCGACAGCTGGACTTAGTTCCGGCCAAACTAATACAATCTAACTTTTTGCATTTGCTCTTTAAAGCTTCATTATCCTACAGCATCGATACGTATTGCTTAGTACTACAGACTGACAGGGGATGTGTTAGGTGGCTAACGGATCGGTTCCCTAAATCGCTTCCGTATGAGTTACTATCACATTTATGGCAAATCTATTCCTCTGCAGCATCGCTTCGACTCTGAGCGATTTTTTAGTGCGCCGTTCCGCGCCAAGCAGACGAATGAATCTCGGGTCGGTTTATACGGCAGACATCCTCGTAACTGCACCACTAGCGGCGCCAGCGGTCGCTTTTCGAAGCTCTTCCCTGTGTCGTCATGCGCAGTTGAATCGGGTTAACTGGCCACTCTAGCAGTCGACAGCAAGTAAAATCGGATCATTTCGCTCGAATCAACGAACGTGGCATTCTCGTGACGGAACCCAGGTAAAGCTCTAGCAGATTTGCCCCAGTGTTTCAAAAGACTTTCGTCACATTTTTTAGTCGTTAGTTTGCGAAAACTCTCCGGCAAAATATCATTCATACCGTGGTGTTTACCAGCACGTTTTCGAAACAATTCAGGGTAACTGGTAGGACGAATTTGGCGTTTGTTCTGTGGCTATCTACTGGTGTTTTCTGTTTGGAAAAGTTTCGGGCGAGGCGGCCTGCAGCGTGCGTACTCGGCTTTTTTTGAAGTCGGACTTCTCCGCGTCATTGAACTGTCTGGTGCTAAGTTCGTCACCTGAGGATTTCCCTAGGACTCACCTATCCCTACGCTAAACAGGTATATAAACACAATAATTAAAAAAATGTCCACTAACCGTGTATCATTTTCTATATTTCTGTTAGCAGAGCGGCTTGTCTTGGTACTTACTGTACTTATTGCTGTCATACGCCAAGAATATTCTAGCAACGGTACAATAATAAATATTATAGCACGCAGAGAAGGCGGATGTTATATTCATCGCTATTTTATACATGTAACGAGGGCTTCCTGCGGAGAGAGCAGTGTTTTTTCAACTTGAATCATATAGACGGGTGATTTCATTTAAACAGTATTCGCTATTTCAATTAATGAGATACAATATATGAAACATCTTACTGGGACGTACGAGCATGCACTTATCGTATTTTGCTTGCACGCATTCAGGCTAATTTTTGAGAAAAAGAACAGTTTTCCTGTGCAAGTGTCTCTAGGTGAGTGTCTTGATCAGTTGAGCTTTATGTATATTAAAAAAAAGACTTTAAAAAGTAGGTAATGTGATTTCAGGACGCAATAGCTGTGATGTAGTTGTATGCCCCTTCTCGTATCGATTCAATACTAGTATTCATTATGCAGGCCTCTATTGGCTTTTAGTAGTAGCATTAAATTACTGGACGTACAACACGCAAAAACACTAGCATTCAACCGAGCGTGATAAGACTTTGCCTATATTATATATAAAATATATTTTTATACTATATATAAAACATATTTTTTTGTTTTCGACAGCCCGATATTAGTCTGTCGTCATTGCTGATAATGTTTTCGTTGCAGGAATGGCGCCTAAGGGAGCAGCCTACGGATCGTCATCTGCCGGCACAGGCAATGTGTCTTACCAGGACAGGGATAAGCCTGCCCAAGTTCGTCAATCAAACATTACGGCATCAAAGGCTGTGTGCGATGCTGTTCGTACATCACTGGGCCCTCGTGGAATGGATAAAATGATTCAAGCTGTGTCTGGCGATGTCACCATCACAAACGATGGTGCCACTATTTTACAGCAGATGCAGGTTCTCCACCCTGCGGCCAAGATGCTTGTGGAATTGTCAAAAGCGCAAGACATCGAAGCCGGTGACGGTACAACGTCAGTTGTTGTCATTGCGGGTTCACTATTAGATGCTGCCTCTAAACTACTCCTACGTGGCATTCACCCAACAATTATTTCAGAAGCGTTTCAGGCGGCAGCCAAAGAGTGCGTGGATATCCTGTCGTGCAAAGAAACCGGGCTGGCCATTCCAATTGAACTGTCAGACCGTGAGAGCCTCCTGCAGAGTGCGACAACTTCATTGTGCTCAAAGGTGGTCTCACAGCACAGTGACGTTTTGGCCCCGATGGCGGTGGACGCTGTTTTGAAGGTAATCGATCCGGCAAAGGATAATAATGTCGACCTGCGTGACATTAAAATCATCAAAAAGTTGGGTGGTACCGTCGAGGACACTGAGCTGATCGACGGACTTGTTTTTACTGAAAAATTGGCTGGAGGTCCTAACTCTCCGCATCGCGTCGAAAAAGCCAAGATCGGTTTGATACAGTTCTGCATTTCACCGCCAAAGCCAAACATGGACCATCAGGTCATTGTCAGTGATTACACGGTTATGGATCGCGTCCTTCGGGAAGAACGTGCCTATCTGTTAAATATAGTGAAAGTTGTTAAGAAGGCCGGCTGTAACGTTCTCCTCATTCAGAAATCTATCCTTCGGGACGCCGTTTCCGACCTGGCTCTTCATTTCCTCGCCAAAATGAAAATTATGGTTATTAAAGATATCGAGCGCGATGATATTGAATTCATTAGCAAGTCTCTGGGTTGCCGACCGATCGCTTCTCTTGACCACTTTGTGCCTGAAGCACTTGGCAGTGCCGAACTTGTCGAGGAAGTGACAACTGGGAGCGCAAAATACGTCAAAGTAACAGGAGTGGCGAATCCTGGCAAGACCGTGTCTCTCCTGTTGCGCGGCTCCAACAAGCTCGTTCTCGAAGAGGCAGACCGCTCGATTCACGATGCCCTATGCGTAGTTCGTTGTTTAGTCAAGAAGCGTGCTCTTGTCCCCGGAGGTGGTGCACCAGAAATCGAGCTAAGTCTGCGGCTAGCTGAGCGTGCACGCGAGATCGAGGGTCTACATTCGTATTGCTATCGAGCATTCGCCGACGCGCTCGAAATCATCCCATACACGTTAGCCGAAAATGCTGGCCTTAATCCCATCCAAACAGTGACCGAGCTTCGAAATCGACATGCCCAGGACAAGCGAACTTATGGCATCAATGTGCGTCGAGGCTGCGTAACCGACATTCTTGAGGAGAACGTACTTCAGCCTCTGCTTGTGTCCACTTCGGCAATCACTTTGGCCGCTGAATGTGTGCGGTCGATTCTCAAAATCGATGATATCGTGCAGACAGTCCGTTAGAAGGCTTTTACGAAAATCATATCATGATGGTATAATCACAGAAGCATGTCTCAAGATATTTCGGTGCCTTCGGTTTGTAGCATAGTGACTGATCGGAGGAGATCATTGTTTTTCGATAGTAAATCATTAAAATTATTAAAATCATTAAAGAAATTAGCTTCATTCGGCTCAAGCAACTATGAGCGCCCCTAGGCGTGCGATTTGGAGGTTCACTAACTAAAGCCTTGCATCTACAATAAACACAAAAACGTCTTTATATTTACCTTGACAATAGTAATTCAACGTCTTGTTATTTAGTTCATGTACTGGGAACTGAGGAAGAATAGTTACGAGGAGCAAATGTATTGCGTATATATTTTCAAACGAATATTATATTAGATGTAGTTAGCAATAAATATATTTGGAAAGAGCAAGTTCCGCTAAGTCATTAAAAGCTTCATAAAGATCTTGATGAGCATACTTCTATTATATGTTGACAAAGTTAACTAATCTATAACTAATCTCAAAACTCATTTTAGAGTTTTGAGATTAGTTATAGAGCTTGATGATCATAAGACGTTGAGTTTAATGAGCAAAAGGCACTAGGCGTTTTTAAAAAATGGATTGTGTCATAAATTTTACTTATCAATTTGGTGATAGTTGTCTGGTATTAAACACAGCAAAAATATGCGTCTAAAGTTAACCTTAATAATAGAAATTGGAATACCCGGCAAAGACATATTTAAGAATCACTATATGGCTATATATATACTTGATGAGTAGGCCGCTAGTAATTCTAAAATTATCATAAAACATACATTGTAAAAACCGGTGGGGTAAATCAACCTGAAAAAGTTGCACTTGCATATTCTAGATGATTCAAAAATTTGTCAAAAGGTAATTTTAGGTACTCAATTAATTTAGTTAAATTGAGTATTCAAACAAATTTACTTTACCTCTTGCATGCCTTGAAATAACTAGATAGAAAGCACCAGAACTTGAGGGACATGTCGTAGTTTCGCCCGTGGACATACTTTGCTTCTATCAGTAGACATTCCATTCGAACGCATTACTAGTCGTGAAATTCGAAAAATTTAGAAAACACATTTCATTTAGGAGCCTGTTTCGCGTGAATTTTGTTAATGTAACGTAACTTATAATCGTACGCCATAATGAATTATTACTGAGGCAGTTCGCGTGAATGAACACCCTGACTGCTTCAAAGTTAAACCTATTTATCTCATTCAACAGCTCTAAAACACATTAACAGTATCATACAAAACAGAGATTCTATGTCCTTAAATACTTCGAGACTAATCTCAAACATTGCTCCTCGTTGGGCCGTTTTCGGTAATAGTTCATTTCATAAGCTTACTTTATTAAAATATAAGCATATTAATCAAAGAAATGCCTTTTTTATTATTAAAGGAGGTAACGTAACAAGTAAAAAAACTAAACTAATAATAATATCCACCTGTTTTACTAATTCTTAACAGCTGTAATATACACTAAAAACGTGAATTTACAAAATAAAGCTACATAGTGTAGCTGCAAGACTATAGCACTGACTGGAAGCATTTCATCATTTATAACTTACAGAGAAAGTCAATTACTTTGTCTGGCCGTTTTTTCTAATTTAGATAATATGTGAATAAAATAACCATTAAACCATTCACCGAACCTAATTTTGATCAATGTAGATTGTAAAGATATGAATCCAGAAAAATTTCAATAGAAAACCATGCACCACTTTATTACGCTCTGGAACTATTTTTGAACCACTAAACGTCTGGAATCTTGGCTGGGTACGGTTTGCTCTTTTTTTTTTCTTCAGATTTTTATTTCTATTAGTCATAAACAATAATTGTTAAATTCGATTTTATTGTACTGGATTTCAACATCGTTGTCAATGATTGATTGCGCTTCTGTTTCCTCTCGTTAATTCATATTCAATAGATGGCATCAGTTAAGGGTCATCTGCTGTTTAGTGAGCAAGGAGAGCTTCCCGTGTATGGATACTTCTTTGAGGATGTTACTAACACCAAGGAGCTCCTTGCTAAGGCCAAATCGGGTAACCAAATAAACACAAAATTTTAGGTAGAATTTTGAAATCGAGATCAAATTATCGTCTACTCAAGCGTAATAATATTAGAATGCGAATAGGGAGTGACATTTCTTATTACCCATACAAGGAGTGTGCATAAAATGATATTACGAAAATACAAAAAATGTTTAAAGTAACCTATCAAACATTGCACAGAAATAATTGTTTAAATAGCGAGTGTTTTTCATGTGCTGTTTTTCATTTTCCCTTCCTAATAGGAGATCTAAACGTCTGCCTTGTAAGCTCTCGTGTTGTGGTGGACCCATTTCAGCTCCAGGTAGCGATAGCTCTAGCAGTAGCAAGCCGTTCATCTGGCCAGATGAAGACAAAGTCCATATTTGCCGAAATTCTCTATTGCATGTCACCCTCTACGAGTATCATTGACAGCTTTAAGAAGTTCGGTGTGTCCGAAAGAGACTCAACCCTTATAGCAATTATCTTTGACAAAGGCGAAAACATTGAGGATCTTATCAAAGGTTCGTCGACTAATTTTACAGCAAATGGCACCACAAAAAAAGAAATTATACGTACCTTGAAGTTTAACATTTTGGACACTCACCTCTGTATGATTGCTAGTCGTTAATTTTAACTATCAATCGAGGTTTAATATGTGAAAGACGACATTTTTTTTAATAAATAGAACAAAAGAGAAAGTTACATTCGATAGATACTTTACCGGTGAAAGATAAAGTAACCACGTCATAGATTCGGCATAACTTTTTTACCTTTTTTTTCTGCACAGGAAAAATGATTTCGTTAGAAGACGGAATAAAACAGCACGGTGATCTTCCTTTCTTAACGAAATTGTTCGCAATCAAAAAAGAAGAAAGTGAAACATCGAATCCTATTGACTCGATTGTTACACGCCTTGCGGCCAAGTGTGTCATGTGACGGATACCGCCGGCGTCCTTCAGACCCTATCAAAGAAAATTATAAACCTGAGGATGTTGGAGCGTTCCACCTGTATAGTGCTGTATATTTAACAACAGTACAGCTGAGATTCAGAATATTCTTCAGTTATTTTTAAAATCATATGTAACAATAGGTCACTCTCTGAGCCAAAAGCAACGATAATAAAGACCGACAGTGTTACTAACCATAGCAATGTAAAAATGTATTGTTTAAAAAAATTAAAATTGTTAGGCACCGTTCTTTACAGGGTGAAGCTTACGATTTTGTTCTAAAATCTGATAACAAAAGAAAACCCTTGTACTTTTTCATATTTGTTGTCTGTTGGGTAACATATGCAGATACCACATTATAACAGGTCGAAATCAGATATCGACGTTGACTGCTAAATGTATGACCTTAAGGCATCGACTTGGGCTTGCTAATTATCGTATGTCGTAACGATGTCTAATAGATGAGATACTCCCCTTGAATTTAATTGATAATACAGTAGAATAAACCAAATTAACAGTAATGGTATTTTATGGACTCAACAACATACTACAGCTATCATTTGTCGAATGTCTCAACAGGTAAACGGAAATCTTCTTATGGAGGCTAGTCAGAGAATGAAAAATAATTACTAATATAATGGAATTTTCTGAAATTTACTCAATAAATTTATAGTTTTGAAAACCTCTGGTAAAAAGTGCCAATTAAGAATAATTTGTAATCGGAGTCATGCCTTTATTTATTACTATTTAAAAAATCTGGAATGGGAAAACTATATCTGTGTCGTAAACCATAATGTAGGAAGATATGACCGGCAGAAATAATCGGATGCGTACGGGAAAGGCTTCTGTAATAGAAACCTAGCGTATCTCATCTTCGATTATACTCTATTCAAGAGGTTAATCAATGAGGGACGAACCAGAGATATAAAGTATAAGTTGAAAAGTTTTACTAAATTTAGTAAATGAGAAATAGCCCGAGTAATATTTGGATTTAAATCGTTAATATTAGAACGGAGGTAACTCTTTTTTGATTGGAGGTGTTACAATAATCATTTAAATTGGGCGTAAAAAAAATAAAGATGGGCGTCATCCGCAAACGCTGCACGAATTTGTTTCACAGGGAACTTTGAGGCTATAACCACCTCCGCGAAGTTCACTTGTCAAAATTTATCTGATGGCATCGAAAAAAGCATCGATGGTATCTTTCAATGACTCCCATGTCGAAGCGAATATCTTTAGGTATGTTATGGTTAGCAGAGCCTTAGCAACATGAATTATACCGTTTGCTGTATTCTCGTCTACAATAAAAGACATGATACTTCCAAGAATAAATCACGGATGTATTTCTGTTAAACGGAATTAAATCAACATCCTGGTGAGAAGAGATGTCACAGAAAATGTCTGAATGAAATTATAGCTGTAAGAGGAGATGAGAGAGGAAAAACTGTAACAATAATAGTAATGGCTACGTAAACTTTTGCAACCCTTCTATTTTTATAGAAATCAGTAGCCATACAAACAAAAATTATTAAACTATTTATTATGGCACTAGACGTTCAAACTTTAGAATTTCTTTAAAGCTACTACTACATTCAGTATTAACATCATAAACAATAAATGTAATATCCAATATAAAACGGTTCCGCAAAAGCATCTGGATTGTTGCGTTTGTTAGGATTTTATGCCCTTATTGTCGTACAGCTATATTCGATAAGATTTGCAGGATATAGATCCAAAGCTCAATTTTATTCGTTTACAGCACATCTGTTTAAAAGTAATCCATATACACAGATTTGAACATCAGTCAAGTATCATCTTTTTTCTTCGAATAATGAAAGAAGCAGGAGGTGCAGTTTTTATAGTTGAAACATCACTAAGGACCATAACAATACGCGAATTTGTCTGAAGTGGTTCGTCACCGAACAGCGATGTGGTCCTTCACGTGTCCCCTTCTGGGCTGCACGCCTCTTAACCATGATCGTGTGACTGCTTGAGACGGTCAGGCAAAAATCGACTTGTTCGTTATTTCATCTGAACTTTGAGTAAATGTCGTTGAGTAAATGTTATAGTGGTTATCGCCAATGTTGTAGCCCCACAAAGGCCCACCCAGATTATCTTTTATTAATAATGCGGACCAGTTTTCCCTGTGGATTGATTTCTAGAGGTTGTATGAAACAAATTTACCCAGGTGCGTCGTTGGCAAATTGTAGTTACTCTGAAGTGTTGCCACAGATAGCTGGAGTCTTTCTAAATGACAGTGTAAAGGCAGTTTCGTGGGCCTTTTTGACAACG